TAAGATTCTCTGCACACAGCTTCAGGAGTTCCCAAGCATATTGGCATTTGACATAATAACAATGATAACTTCTGGGATCCAATTTGGTAGTTAGCTTGTTAGCTCACAGTCAGATGCAGGCATGGATTTTTTTACTTCTCTAGCAATGACATCTGGTTTTGTGTAACCTGGCTCCTGTTGTACACATGGTGGGTTTGCTGATTAGGATGTGCTGAATCTGATTGGCATTTGCTTTTGGGTGAGGTGACTGTAAGAGATGCCTGCTCTAGAAAGAAATTCATGAAGAGCTTTTTGTGGTTATGTATTCGATCCTTAAAAGAACTCTCATTCCAATACAGATTTACTTACTAGACTTATGAATCAGGTGATATTGATGCACATTTACAGTGCTTAGCACTTTTAATCCAGAAAGATGACAAAGCCAAATTCCATTGTATGGAGCACACAGGAATACCATCTCCCATCACTTAAATGCAGCCACCTGTTGAGCTCAGCATGACTGCTGTTCAGAAGCAAACATAACAATACTGTGTAACCTGTTAGATATTGCAAAGGGAAACTTTTACTTAGGAAGAATGTAATTGCTGCAACTGGAAGCTGGTCAGGACACCTTTCAGAAAGCATGAGCATATCCTTAATAATGACAACTGCTCAGGACCACAGTTTTGTATTTAATTTGAAAGAAGGCATCTCCACTAGCAGCGTGTTAACAGCTTGTTCCAGGTCAGAAATGCCTTAGTGGGAAAAGTGCTACTTATTTAACCACCAACACTTTTTTTTTTGTAGCCGCTGTTTTTCATTAGAGGTCTCCCAACCAAAGTATGCCCAAACTGCTCAGCTCGTCATATGCAACAAGAATCTAGCCCGGGGCAGTATAGCAGTAAGACTTACCTTGATTTCAAAGCTTCTCTGCTCCAAGGGTAAAGTCTGCACAGGATACTCAAGATGGTTATCTATCAAAGTTCATGTTTAACACTGCCTCTCCCAATTCTACAAATGGGAGTGAAGTGAGAGAGCAGACCAATTTGTGCTATATTTTTGCCTGCTTAGTATTTCATATGCTTTTGTTAAGAAAAAGGTACAATAAAATCTTATGTAGAGAAAATTAGATAAGAAGGCTTATGTGGCATTTGGGGTTTGCTTGTAGAGCTTTGTATTCAAACTGGAGTGGCTAGAGGTCAAAGCTTGCTGTTTGTGGTGCCGCTTGATTAAAGCGGGAATTGTTGAAGAATTCTTTAACAAAATGGAATCAAGCTCTGTGGTTTTGTTGTCTCTTGAAGTGAGGACTCAACCTTGATCCTTTCAGACTGAACTGACAGCAATTTACAGAGTATAGTAAGTTAACCTTTGTCTTGCTTGCAAATAATTTTTCTTGCATTCACCTACTCAGTAAGCTTCATAATTTCATTTCCAGATTTTCTGCAAATAACACACAGTTCTGCAGCTTCACTTATACCAGAAATGGCCTTTCTTATGACTGTTTTTTTCAGTCCCATAATTCATAGACACCGAGCATCATTTATCAGCAGGGTAGCAATCCATCCTTTGGGTTCTTTCTAACTGGCTGAACAAAATATGAAACCGATTACATTAGCTCTGGGCCATATTCTGCAGCACTTACTGCAGTGCCTTACTCTGCAATTAGTCCCTCTGGCTTTATGGAGTAAAGTGCTATTGACTTGCCACTGGCACATACATTTACCCCACTAATAATACAAAACAAGATGATGATCATACCAATCATGCACCCTTTGGCAACATCTTATCGAAAGTATGTTATGAAGAATCTGTGAACTAGAAAAGATGCAGCTGAGATCACACTGTATATAAACATACCATATGATTCTCTAACGCCAATAACAAGTTGAGAGTCAAAAGCTTCTCCTAGTCTTTCAGCATGGACCAGCTTCATTGCACTGTCTTGAAGTCTATTCTTTATATTTGAAAATATGGACTCATTAAATGTGCAGTGTGGTTTAGCAATGCAATTTCCATTACAGACAGATACACTAGCTAAAACCTCAAACCCTGCTTATTGCTTTGAAAATTTAGAGGCATGTGACTATCACACCGTGAATAATAAGAATATGTGGCATTTGTAGAGCAATTTACCCCTGTTCAAAAATGAGCTAATTAACACAGTAGTATTTGTTTGTGGCAAAGCCTTTGCCTTTTGAGTGGTGTGAAAATAACAAAAGGAGGAGGAATTAACTGTAAGAAGGGCTGCCCAGGCTATTCATTTGGATGTCTTTAAATCAGAAGCTTTCTTCCAACAAATATGTCAAATAAAACAGGTAGCTTATTAGCAACTGTTAATCTGTCGAAGGCGCTTACATGGCCCCATGGTACTGAGCACCTCACAATTTTAAGTGTATTCTTCCTCTACCGACACCAGTCCTCTGAGATAGCAAAGTTCTGCTGCTCCAAGTTAATATATGAAAAACTGAGACACAGAGACAGTATGGCCCTGATCCTCAAAGATATTTAGGCTTCTAACTTCCAGTGGATCTAAATGACTTATCCAAAATCACACAGGATAATCCATGGTGAAACTGGAAATTGATCACAGAGTCCCAGCTTTAACTATCCTCCTATTGCCAGCGCAACTGAAATGCAAAACAAAAAAATCTGCACGTTATTGCTCAAATCTAAAATTTATGCCACATGGAGAAAGGGAGGGAATAAAACATTTATAAAGTACAGAAGCCTAACCTGTGCAATTGATATCCAACGGCTCAAAAGGCATATGCGCATGCTGTTGACTAAAAAAAAATTCTATTGACATAATATATCAGCGGAGCTTACCAGCTGAAATGACAATGAGGCTAAGGAGCGCATGCATCCCTGCAATTAACAAAACCAGACTCTGTTATGAGCAACTATTATCTAATGGAGATCCCTTTAAAAAAAAGGCCATGAATATTGTAGAAAACTGAAATCCAAGTCTTCCCTCAAATTCTAGCTTCTTTGTTCTCGAATTCTTCGGAGGATAGTATTTTTGAATTCAGGAATCTCTTGTTTTTATGAAAATAATGAAAAATAAAAATAAACTGTCTATATACAAAATTTCTTTTCAGAATTATCTGTAGTTTTGCAGAGTAAAGCAAGGGTATGGGTATGATAAAATAGAAGCCTATCCAAACCTCTGTGTCAAAAATCAAAAAGGACCTTTTTACAGGTTAGAAGGTATTTGGCTATTTCTACACACACACACACACACTCTCTCTCTCTCTCTCTCTCACTCTCTCTCCCCCCCCCCCCCCCGCTCCCT